CTATTTGCAGATGAATTCATTGACCTCACTAATAGTTTCCAGAGCAAATTTACCTCGCTGATGAAACTGGTCTTTTCTGGCAATATGTAACACAAAATACATTGGCAACCTCTATAGAAAAGGCTTCAACTCATATCAAAGATTTGCAAGCGAGACTAGCAATTTTTGCATGTGCAAATGTGGCAGGAAAGCACAAGCGTAAACTTTACGTAATCCGAAAAATACACAAACTTGAGCATTTAAAGGAGTAAAATGTTTCCCGCTATATATTGTGCAAATAACAGAACATGGATGACACAAATGAATGATTGGTTTGAAAATCATTTCATACCCGAGGCTCGGCAGAATTCAGTTGGTTTACCTGATCCCAAAAAAATTGTCTTGATTGAAGACAAGTGTTTGGCTCATACTTCAAAAATTTAGTGAAACATAACGTATCCGTATTATTCTTTCCTCCAAATTTTACGTCAGTCATTCAGCCTATGGGTATCAGAATAGTGCACGTGCTAAAATGAAAATATAATGTAGAATTTTTAAAATCCATATTAAATTTCTTGAATAATAATGACAAGACTATTCAAGAATTGTAAAAATATTTTAGCGTAAAATCTGCTTTGTGGAGCGTCACATGATCGTGGGAGGATGTGTCTGCAGATACTTTAAAAAATGCTTGGCATAATTTATGACCAGCTAGCATATTCATGGTAAGGTTGATGAATATGATAGCCGCAAATGCGTAGGTTTTCGGATATCACAAACCAAAGAGGTTTTCCAATTAATGGAATTTTTAAAGAAATGGGGAGAAGTGGTAATAAATGAAGATGATATAACACTAGGTTTTCATTACAATGACACTGACCCAATTATAAATCAATTAACAGTCGGCAAAATCTGTAGTGTGGTTCTAGATCCAGAAAATACCACTACTGATAGTGCAGAAAGTGACAGAGAGGTTACTGAAAATGAAAATTTTCGATTGGCAAGTTAGTCGGAATTCTTGACACTGCAATTACAGAACTTGAACAGTTGAACTTTGTAACTGAATAAGAAATTATATCTGTCTAGAGAATTAAAGAGAAAATAAAAGCACAAAAAAGCAACTTAAATAACTTACAGTGAAAGAAATGTTTAATAACATAAACAAATAAATATTATGTTTCGTTTTGTATATTTTGTAACCATTTAGATCATAAATGCTTCGTTATTTCATAAGTCATGATTTCATATTTTTAATTTTATAGTTTCTAAATGCCATCCTAAAAGCATTAAACTGATGATCCAATAAACGGAAAAATCCCAAATCCGAAATTGACGAAATCCCGACGAGTCTGGATCTCGAACTTTGTACTGTATATAGTTTGCTTTAATAATTATAATCTAAAATGTGTTTCATCCTGAAACTTTTGGAAAGCACAGTATTTCATATAAAATTATTGCTATTATTTAGCAACATCTCTAGTAAGTGAACCATGCAGCTGTATTCACATTTCATATGTTAATATGTGGGATTTCATGTAGTCATACTTGCTTTATGATGCTTTCTTATGTTACTCATTTCCATAATTTTTCATTTAAAAAGAATCTAAAATATTCTGGTTAGCTGAATGACAGTCAAGCTTTTACCATATTAATCAAGAATTATGGGAAATTTTGAAGCAATGGAGATAAGGATTGATAATCCACCTGCTCTTTTACCATTTCTGTGCACAGAGGAGTTTTAAACACGAAAAGAAACAAAATATTTTTATCATATGAATATATATGATACTCATATAACTTTCAAATTGATGTTGTTAGAATCTTGCAATATTTCACTTCCTTATTTTATTAAATTAATAGCACTTGATGTCCTACCGAATAATTTATCTATTATACTAACAATGAAAAGGTGCAAACTTATACTGACACATACAGGATGCAGGAGTAGAATTAGTACAAATTTAAACAGAGAAATTACAAATAATATAAACCTTTTTTACACTTTCCTGTTAACAGGGCATTAGTCACCAAATGTGTAGCCTATTCAAATTGTATCACAAACAGCTATATAATAAGATGTATGATGCTTAATGCATGCAAGATCAAATTTGTGTAGTTCTGATTTTTTTTTTTTAGTAGAAATAGATTGCTGCATACATGGGGAGAAAAAATATTATTTTTATATATACAACATGCTGCTTTCACTTGGGGAAAGGATTTGCACAAATTTGACATCAGTCACATTAAACATTATATATATATTATACTCATTTAAATATAAAATAGTTATTCTTTCCATGGAGTTTTATATATCGATATGTTGTTGCCATTGTTAGGTAGATTTTGCAGCTGTGATTGATTATGTTTGGGGCTTCCCTTAACCAAAAAGAACTGATTTTTCTTAATTTATGATTTCCAATCCATACTCCATGTTTTAAATGTTTCTATTCAAGATTCTCAGTTGTCAGTAAGACTTCAAGAACTTTGGATCCCAAACAGGTTTAATGACAATGAGTAGTGAAGGAAAGTAACAGTCTATTCCATCTCCATCAGGATGGCAAACAATGATGCTATACAAAAGTTCTATCACTAAAGCCAATTTTGAGAATTAGGAAACAGAGGGTTGATTCAGACTGATATGAAGGCCACAGCTGTCAGAAAGACACAAGACAATGCTGAAGAACATGGGAGAGAAATGGCATTTTCATTTCAAATGTACGGTACTTCAACGACTACACAGCTAGCATACAAATCTGGGACATGTCATGATATCTAGGCCATTTTGGCTAAGCTACAAGATGACCATTCTTGATCTAGCAAGACTCTGCAGCATACATAGCCAAAGAAAACTCAGATGCAACTAGAGGAATATATATATGATAAAAAAACATGTAGATCAAAATTATAATTTAAACTAGCGGTAACCCCTTAATTTCCCTTCTCTATTCCAAAAATCGTAATAATTTTTCTGGGCTGTGTCATTTCTAGATCAATCCATGTTGCATTGGTTATGTAATGCTAAAGACTTACCTATTTCTGAACCTAAACTCAAAGTTTCAAGAACTGAAACCTTTCTTATCGAAACCAAAACCTTCTCTTGGTAAGCCTCCATATTGCATACTTTAGCTTCAACTCTTTTGCAGTCAAGACGCTAATTCACTACTTTTGCTTTGCCGTACTGCTAACTATGCCATTATCTAAATGTGATTATCTGTATTAAATTAAGAGATATATATTGCGCCCATGATAATGTGTGACAAAAAATATAGTTTCGATAATTAGAATTCCAGAAACTATGTACTCTTGAGACTCTCCACTCTACAACTCGCGATGCATTCGATGTACACTAGAATATAGCTTCCAACTCCATTTGGTCATTCTCAGCCTTCAACACTAAGATAAAACTCAACAATGCACTAACTCGCGATACACTAAGAGACTCTCGATGCACTCAGCATTAGACTTTGAGACGCTCGCTCACTGACTGATTATCAACTCGCTTTCTGCATACCACCAGGGTTTATATAGCTTTTGCCTTGCGTTCGAGAACATTCTGAGCCAAACCAGTATGAATTCATTTCAGAAGGTTAAATGGTTTAATAATGTCCAGAAATAAAAATTATATTCAATTCGGCCACGTCTGTCTACAAGTCTCACCTTTGAGTGTAACACAGTAAAGTCTCTCCCGGTCAAAACACAGAGAACCATCATCAATCCACTGCAGTTTACTCCACGTTATTATATTACTAATATATAGTGTTACAAAATGCCAGGCGTGGTAAGATAGCTCCCTCACAAAGCAAGCTTACGGTTGCCAGAAAATGGCAAGAAAAGGCAGGGTTGCCATATTTGGCAAGAAATCATCCATTTGGCAATATGCCATGGATGGATGGAGAACCTTTTGAAATGAATTTTTACTGGTTTGGCTCAGAATGTTCTCGAACGCAAAGCAAAAGCTATATAAACCCTGGTGGTATGCGGAAAGCGAGTTGATAATCAGTCAGTGAGTGAGTGTCTCGAAGTCTAATGCTGAGTGCATCGAGAGTCTCTTAGTGTATCGCGAGTTAGTGCATTGTTGAGTTTTATCTTAGTGTTGAAGGCCGAGAATGACCAAATGGAGTTGGAAGCTATATTCTAGTGTATCATCGAATGCAACGCGAGTTGTAGAGTGGAGAGTCTCAAGAGTACATAGAGTTCCGAGAATGACAGAGCAGAGTCGGGAGCTATACTCTGGTGCTTTACTGTGAAGCTGTCATCACCGTAGTACATCGCGAGTTGTAGAGTGGAGAGTCTCGAGAGTACGTAGAAACCCGAGAACAACCGAGCAGAGTCGAGAGTTGTACTCTCGTGCTTTGCCATGAAGCTGTCTTTACCGTTATAGTCAGATAGCCTGTGTCGTTGATTGTTTCAGCGAGTTTATAGTAGTTCTTCGACGACTGTAAAAGTGTTTTTAGAGCTGTCTTGCACAATACTGTCTAATAAATTATGTTTCAATACTTCATCAAGTGTTGTCATCGTTAGTTACCCCAAATTCACGAAACCATATGCACGCGAAGGAAAACGAACAACATATGATAATGATCCCTAATTTACAGTCTCCAAATTCACCTGACTGCAATCCTGCTAGCTATCATATATAAGGCATAGTATCACTAATACAGCTTTCATTAACAATAAATGTCAGCTGAGAAAGGAAATCTGCCAGATCTTTGACGAACAGTCTTCAGGTGTAATAAAAAGCACCTGTTCTCAATTCTAACATTGTTTGGAGCTGTAATTAATGCTGAAGGTGGCTTCGCTTAAATAAATTCCATCTATACTTTGTTCATTTCTGGAATTTAAGAAAAAAGTTAAAAATGTTTAGAGTTTTTTTTTCTTTTAATGTACTATGTCAATTTTACTCATGCACTTAGCAAAACAATGAGAAGTGTTATGGAATTATATTTTGATACACATATTTATTACAGTAACATCAAATTTAGAAGTATTAAACAAATCAACTAAATATTTTAGAACCATACATTTTGATTTCTTCTTATTCATATTTTCATTATCCACAGTATCCGGTGACCAAGCTACTTTCTTCTTCCCTTTTGGTTTTTTTAATTTCATTCTCACACTAGGCACAGCCTAAAAAATTCATCTCATAAATATATGCTCTAAAGACAAGATTCTATGTTAAAAAATTTTAGCTATGCATTCAGTATAATACAGACAGAACAAGTTAAATAAATATTTGTACATTTTACTTTTAATAAAATATTTGGCACTTCCTTGTTAAAGCAGTCACTGTATTTAAATGTCCATTCGGTAATGTGGAAATTTCGGATGTTGCTAAAGAATTATGTGATGGCTACAGTAATAAGAAAGTACCAAGCATTTTTATCACTTTAGGCTTAAAATTCACAAATTCCTAAGAGTAAATGAGAATGAAAAAAAAAAAAAAAAACCTTCTATTCTTCAAATCAAAATTTTTAAGTATTTCCTTGAAAATAAGTCATTAAAAAAAATGAAGGCTAACAGTTTCATCAAATGGAATTTTTTATTGAAATATCTTTTAAAGAATATACCAATCAATGCTTTTCAAAACTTGCTATACTTCTCTCTCTCTTAAAAGTTCAAGATGTGTCCAAAAAATTAGAAAAATGGAATATACATTTTCTATTTTTCTACTATTTATTGTATACATAAAAAGCATAAATATCATAAAATCTTTAACGCTCTGTTACAGCCTAGATTATTATTTTTAGAACATAAAATCTATAGGTTCTAATTTCATTATTATTTTTAAGCTATAATTGTTAGAAACATAAAACTGATGAAACACTAAATAATAAAACCGAAAAAGGCAGAAACTGATTTACACAAATAATTAGCTAAGTATTTAACATAGTAAATATGACATAAAATAACATGTCTATAAAATTTTAACTGATTTCTCAATGAATGAATATCATGTATATTTTTAATATTTTTTCAGAGCTAATTTCGGAAATTAGCATATAAAACACTTTTCTATTTTCATAATCTCAGAAATTGTAATTAAAAAAAATTAAAATATTGAGCTTAATTTTTCAGTTCTCTAAAAGGTTTATATTTATTGACACAGGAAGCATCAAGTCTGGAGATGAAATCAATAATGCACCCAAGTAAAAAATCCCTCTGGAATATACACAACTGATTTGGAAAAAAAAAAAAAAATAGAAATATTTTTATTTTGACTATAACTATATATATAATTCTAAAATTAAAACAATGCTAAAACCATCGTTAAAATGGCAGAAATTTTGAGATAACATTTAAACTGCTTACATGAAATTCTACTCTTTCCTTTCCCCCACCCCCAACAAGCAGCGAGATGGCACATTGGCCGAAAAGCTCCACCATTGTAACCAGCTGCTTTAATAATGAGGGTGAAACTCATTTACTGTTGTTTTGAACAAAGTTACATTACAGAAAATGAGTTTTTTAGAACATATTAAAATCTATTTCAGCATTTGGCATATGCACAGTACGAGTATAATCCCTTTTCCTTTATTTTTCAAGCTGCCATTTCTGTTTTCCAGTTCCACCTCATTCTGGTGTTTTTGCACAATAAAGTCAGCGAGAACTCCTATCAGCCTGAAGTTCACAAACCTATCGAAATGTACAGTTAACTGAGCTTTCTTTAATCAAGTTGTATGGTTTCTTAATTTTTATTTTATCTTTTTGATAAAGAACATTTTATCATTTTAACAGAATGCATTTTGTGTGTAGCTAATAATATTAAGTTCAAAAGTTTATATAAGTAACACTTTTATTTTATGAAGATTTATATTAACTTGTTAGCTATTAGATTTAGCCCATTAATAACTATTTCTATTTTGCATTTTTAAAACAACTATTTTGGGGCTAGGGGTATATATGTGAAGGGAAAAAATAAACACTTATTCACGACTGCAAGAAATGCAATTGTTTAATTCTGAAAGAATTTAGCTTTTATTCAGTACATATAAGTGATTTGTTAAAATGCTTTATGCTATAACTGCTTTTCAAGCGATTTCGTAAATTTTGAGTTACAAATGAACAATACAAATTTTTTTTTCGATATCTTGTTATTGAATATGGTTAAGGTTATTATTAGTAATAAATGTGCTTGTGATTAATGTATTTTTTTTAAACACAATATATATTTTATATATATATATGCTTCAAAAAGATTTGGTATTTTTCTGTTAATGGGATGCCAACTTCAAACCAAACATAATGCTGCTGTAAAATCTAACAAGATGGTGGCAATGCAACAATACATAGAGCTTCATGAAAAGAATAACTATTTTATATATATAGAATGTACACAATGTTTAATGTGCATAATGCCAAAAGCTTGCTGTATTTATACAATTCTCTGACAGTTTTTTAAGCAAAATTAGATGATCACTGTATACACTGGGAGAATGAAACTGATTTTTCCCATGAATACATCAACCTGTTTTTGTTTTTAAAAAAATCAGAGAATTCCACAAATACAGGTGACAGCTGTTCATGATATGATATACATTTGACAACTAGTACCCTGTAAAAAGTAAAGTAACGGAAGTTCCATTACACTGAGACCTCGGCATATATCATTACTCTGTTCCAGATTCTAAGAGGTATACTAAATTAACTTAAATAATAATAACAATAATAATAATAATCCATTCTTATAAAAAAAGTCCTACTGTTATTATTATAACACTGTTTAATACTAAAATACAAATGCAGCAAACAAAATATATACTATACATAAATGAAGCCTTGTTACATGATACTGTACAGAAATGTTTTTCTGCTATCCAGATCCAAAATAAGTTTTCAACATGCTTTCCTTTGTCTGATAATCGATTTCACCCCTTCTGCAGTATTAGGGGATTTAAAAGCAAATGTTTTTCACAACCATACTTGGTATATGTTAGGCATGCCATCTTCCTACTTTACAACAATCTCTTTTTTTTTTCATGCCCATGGAGATCCCAATCATTTTCTTCATTACTTAATTCCTTTCATTAACTTTCCTAAAATTCAATGTTAATGAGTTTAAAAAAATATTACGCAAAATAGCACAAAATCACTTGAAAATTGAAAATTACAGTGCATGATGTTTACTGAATGGTGGCAACAGGCACACTGATGCTTATGGGCAATCGTAGTACTGTCTTGAAAGAAATAAACAAGTATAGTGTGCACAGTCATGACATAGCAAACTTGAGTTGTATTCTAAACAAGATGTATGCCAAATTGGATGCATTTCAAAGCAGATATATATTGAGGTACCACTGAATGTAATAATTGTTAATACTTAACTCTTCAAATGTATCTTGAATTTACTGACACATTGAATTTTTATGGAACACTGAAATATGTTGAAATTAGCTAATAACTAATATGTAAGGAAAGCAAGTTACTAAAGAAGCATTCATAAATTAGAAAGCAATACAAATTCAACCAAATCCTGAATTTTTAAAATATTGCTATGATAATAACTCTTTTTAACTGTGCTTAAATAAATATTTACACTTCTTATTAAAGTGGCTACTGAACACAGTCCACAAAATAGGCAAACTTTTTTGTCTAATTTGTAAAGTGTAAATTTGCAATGATCAATTTAAAAGGGAAATATCCAACTACTATAATTATTGGGGGGGGGAAACAAAAAAGGTACACATTATCGCAACTACCTTAATAGAAGTTGCCAAATTTTCAGAATTCTGATTCTGGCAGTCATATGCATAGCCATTCTTCAGGCAACTTATGTTCATAATAATCCTCAATGGTTTTTACAGATAAATTGTGAGCCTTAAACTCAATTTTAAAATAGTCACTTGTGAAATTTGTTCTGAAGAAACTAAAGTAACTTGGGGCTTGAGTGGCTTCCAGGTGCATCAGCAGGTGGTAGATAGCCAGATGTCCTGTATTTATCTGACAGGATAGCTTTGAATAATAAATAAGAAGCTGTGGACCCCCCTCTCATAATCCTGGCCACTTATAATCTGCAGCCCATGCCTAGGGTGAATGACACTGTGGTTATAGTGTCTTAATGGAGCCTTTAGAATGCCTGCCAACTTTTAGAGCAGCGATTCTCAACCGGTGGTACGCAAAGAAACAAAGTATTTTTAACCATTAAATTCGAAAATCTCGTGAAGAAAACGAACAACTGATAGAAATTTCCTGTGATCACACTCTAACTGAAGATTTCAAAAATAACACACTCGTTAACTTTTGGCTGAACCAAAAAAAAAAAAAAAAGAATTGAAAGGCATTTAAAAAAAAAAACTATAAATTTTATGCCTTTTGCACTTTGTATTCGCATAACCAATTTTTGTGAACAAAACCCTTCCATGTATATTGAAACTAATACAAAAAAATAATAAAATAAATACGAAAAATTAAATGGATCTTAACTTACGTTAAGTAAGACCGACATAAGAAAGGATATCTCGTACACAGGCCAAATTTCATACTAATAATAAGTATTTAACTTAATTCTGATATTAAAATGGTACCAATTTTTGATCGAATCTTTTTGTTATGTGTGCACATTTTAAACAATAGCAATAGGATGGCAATACGAAATATTTTTTTAAATTTAACTAAAAAAAAAAAAAAAAAAAGGTTGTAAAATGTAGTGGTGGTACAAAAGTTTTCCAGTCTTGTTTGGATGTTACCTTTGGCAAGTTAAGACCGCTGTTCTAGAGATTTTGACTTTACCAGCACAGTAATACTGGGTGGACCTTTTTTATCCTGTACTTTCTTTTCTAGTTTATATATGGCTGAAAAAGACAACATGATTAAAAATTCCACTTTGACATGCAAAAGCTCTGAAGTAGACCTTTCTTCTCATAACAAGGAAACCTAGAGGAAATCAATCGAAGGAGTAGAAACGAATCGCTCATGGTGCTGGGTAGAAATGACCTCTACTCAATAAACATCTGGAGACGGGCAGAAAGCTATTAAAAGCATGACTGCCTCTCTAGATAAAATAAAAATAAAAAAATAATGTCCTGAGGGGGGAAAAAAAAGCCTCAGAATTGAAACTGTCACCCCAAAGACTGTCAAAAGAGTCAGACCTGAAGGTTATAACCTTCAAGGAGGCTCTTAAGGTGATCAAG